CTGGGCCTCTTTGCTTAGGCTGCTGCCCCCGCGACCCGGCCTCGGATAAAGCGGACGAAGATGGATGAATGGATGGATGGATATAGTTCAGTTTCACAGTACAGCAACATTTTGAACACAAAACATTTTAACCTGAATTCTCAAACGTCACTTCAGAGTGATAGCACAAATGCACATATTTAACTGAGTGATGTTCTCGGTTATAATGAGCCTTTTGTCTTCGCTTTTCTCCTCCCCGTCCCTCGGTCCTGTCCGTTCTCACCATAATTACTTAAAAAGTAAAATAAATAATAAAGATTGAATAAACTATGAAAATCACGTGGACGAGTACACGAAAAGCCAAAATGGTCCGTGTGGGAACGCAAATCTATTGGGACTAGTTCTGGACGGTACAGTGTCAGACAGGAAAGGCAAAAAAAGTCCAAAACTCCAGGATTGTGTGTTTTTGGCTCAGACTGCCTCCTCGAGTTTGTGTGTTTGTGGTACAGCCTTCATGTTATCGACGAGCCTTTGTTTAATAACAGATATCTAACACACTAACTGACCTGTGAGTCACTGACTGTGCATGCAGACCTGTTGATTTCAGATGAATGACACACAAATAAAGAAGATAAGTAGCTGTCACCTGAGTCCAGGTGTGTCTGACAGGTGGACAGAGTGACCTCCACAGACACACCTGTGTTGCTGATGATGTCATTCCCCCTGTCCCTCAGCTGTCAGACCCAGGGACTGCAGCGACATCCTGAAATCTGGTGTCTCTCAGGATGGCGTTTACTCCGTGTTTCCAACCCACGACCCCAATGGCTTCATGGTTTACTGCGACATGAGCACAGATGGAGGAGGCTGGATGGTACACACACACACACACACACACACACACACACACACACACACACACACACACACACACACACACACACACACCCTAGGTGCTAATTCGTTTGTCAGCCTGAGCTTGTTAGACACCTGCTTCGGTTTGACTAGCTTAGCATACAGGAGACCTGCAGGAGATCCTGTCACACCCAATGTTCCCTCTAAGCTGCGCGCGTGCGCAATTGCGCACTGCTGGCACGTCTCTGCGCACAAAAAAAAAATCTAACCTGAATTGAAATTAAAATGAAAACTTTAACAATCCTGTTCTGCAGTGTGAGTCAGTGACTGGCTGCTCCTGTATGGGATCAGAACGATGCCACCTTATCCCACAGTCCAGCCAATGATGCGATTCACATTCGTATATACGCAGCTAATCAACGTCGCTGACTGGCTCTGACAGCGTCCTTATGTGCCGACACCGGTGTTTAGCGAGCAAAGCGGCTGATGTGGAGTGAAGCCACGTTAATGACAACGTGCACAACCATTGGAGATGTGAGCAGGACAGACGAACAACTGACGGGAAAAGTGTGGACTTTATACCAGTTTTTAAATTGTGTTGATCGGCCACGTAAAACCAGAGTTATGATAAAATATCTGCAATGTTTGGTTTTCTTCCTGAATACTGTCGTTGTTTATATTTACTGCAGGAAGAAACGGTAAAAACAGCGTTTTATATGGAAAACGCTCGAAAGCCTGTGAGCAAAAAAAACTCCACCCCCCCTCCCTTTCCTATTCGTCCAAAAAAAGTACCATGTCGACCAATCAAAAAATGATATGGCAACGTGGCATCTAGTTGTTAAGAAACGGGGGGAAGTTTTAGGAGTGACGGCGGAGCGGCACAAATAATTTGTGTGGCATCAGATTTGATGCCGAACAGCTGATTGTTCTGTAAATAGTTTGAAAGGTTTATTTAAAAACACCTTGGCTGCATTTTTAGGTAAACAGCTGCAAAACACTTTGTTGTTTGCATAACTCAGTTACTTTTTTGAAGAAGTAACTATATAATTAACTGCCCAGCATTGGTCATTATTTACTGTATGTTGCAGACAGAGTTACAGACTCTCCCAGACCACAGACTCACAATACAGTCAGAGCTTTATGAAAAATAAAGAAAGTTGTGTTTTCAAACTTGGAGTTCAAGTTATTTTTCCTTCCAGTAGTGTTAACATGCTACAGGTCATGAACAAGATTGTTTTTAATTTTCATTGTAAATGGGCTGAAGCAGGTAATTTAAAGTAGTCTAACATAAATGCTGTAATTTGATTACTTTAATAAACATATAACTTGGATGCTGGCATGACCACACTGCACACGTCTGCTGTTGCTCACAGTGGTCCAAGGGACGCTCAGTTTGTGTTCGCTCAGACACGTGAAAAATTAGAGGGAACATTGATCACACTTCATCAATCACACCGATTAATTTTATCAGCACGACTGTTTCTTTAATTAAGACTGATAATGTACCTGTCAGAGGCTTCACACCTGTGTGTGTGTGCGTACAGGTGATTCAGAGGAGGGAGGACGGCTCGGTGAACTTCTTCAGAGGATGGGAGGCTTACAGGGACGGATTTGGGACAACGACTGGAGAGCACTGGCTTGGTCTGATACACACACGTTGGTTTTCCTGTGTTTGTGGGGGCCATTACTCACTGAGTGCACACACAGGAACCTGAACTTTATCCTTCTTAGCTGAAACAACGGGACACTGTTATCCAGTTTCCTCAGGTTTTTTTGAGCACACGTTGCACACCATGCTGAGATATTTCAAGCTGTCAGCTCACAGCTTTGAGAATCATCCTAAAATACTTTTTAGATGCTTAACAAAGAAAACATTCCTGTAAATATGGTCAGGTACAAGGACTGGAGTGGAACTGAATAAAAAAGTAACCAATGTCCAAGAAGAACTTCAGAAAGCTGGATTAATGTTTTAAATCGAGAAAACGAGAACTAAAGTTTTTAAATGGATGATTTAGGAGAGAAAGAAAAATATTTAAATAAAAAACACTAACCACAGAAATACTCGATACAAAACTTAGCGGTACTTCAATAAAGTACCTCAAACTGGATGTATTAAAGCTTCAGCCCAGCATGGTGTTCTTTATGTTTAACTCTTTATTCTTTGTATTTATGTATATTTCCTGAGTTGTTTGTCGGGTCATTTCACATTCAAATAATTAAAGAAGGGTTTAACCCAACCACGTCTGACCAGCAAAAACAAACGTCGTGATAGGAGCTGTGCAAAACTTCAGGACCTGCTGTCATCAGTTTGAGTGATGACGGTTGGGCTGGTTTCTAATAAAACTGATCACAGCTGGGCAACATCAGCAGCAGCTTCATGAAATGACACCTTTAATCTTCTACTTTTCACAGTAAATCTTTAACCTTGGTTGTTCCCACAGTCAGGTGGGAAAGTTTTGTTATTATTCTTTATTTTTCTAATTTCAGGTGAGAGTAACGTGTTCAAAGGTGTTTTTGTGTTTTGTCATGTAACCGAGTAGAACTTCAGGTAAAATGTTGATGGGTCCCGTGGTAAAGCGGTGAGACTGGTCCTCACAAAGACAGTGTCCAGCACACAGTTTAGAAAGCAGCACAGTGACACCTGGCTGTCTCTCTCAGGTCTGCAGAGGATCTACTCGCTCACCAGGTCAGGTGGTTCCGAGCTGCGTATCGACATGGCAGACTTCGATAATGCCACAGCGTTCGCTCAGTACTCTGAATTCTCCGTTGGTCGAGACTCCGTGAACCCCGAGGAGGACGGATACCCGCTGACTGTGGACGGATACTCCGGGACTGCAGGTACCACGCGGTAACACACAGTACCACAGATTACTGCACAGTACTGCACAGTACACAGCCGGGTATTTCTCTGCAGGTGACTCCCTCCTCAAGCACTCGGGGATGCGGTTCACCACCAAAGACCGCGACCAGGACCAATCAGAGAACAACTGTGCGGCGTACTACCAGGGGGCGTGGTGGTACCGGAACTGCCACACCTCCAACTTGAATGGGCAGTACCTGAGAGGAGGCCACGCCTCCTACGCTGACGGTGTGGAGTGGTCCAGCTGGACTGGTTGGCAGTACTCGCTTCGCTTCACGGAGATGAAGATCCGACCCAGACCGGAGTCCTGAACCTGGGCCGACAGCTCATGATTGGTTGTGACTGTAGATGGTTAGAGTCTGTATGAAACTCCACCTCCATAAGTATAATTGTAAATGATGGTAGACAGAGCGTTGATGTGTTACTTACCTTTTTTTGTTTCATCAATAAACTCATTTGACAAGACGATCCATAATCACTCTGATCGATCTTTACGACGCGGTGTTAGAGGTCACGCTCCTCTGATGGAAGCGGGCGGGTTAAATGGTAAATGGTCTGTATTTATATAGCGCTTTACTCGTCCCTAAGGACCCCAAAGTGCTTTACACATCCAGTCATCCAAAAAAAAACAATGAAGAGAGACAGAATGTATGTGGTTTCTGTATAGAAGCCTAATATTCACGGGTGAAAGGCGAGTACAAGCAACCTCCAGACAGTCGCCTGGAACCGGATACAAACATCGAAGTGTAGAAAGAACCACAACTCAAGCGGGAATAAAAAAGCGGAATCACCACTCAATCATACCAAACAATAAAATCTACCTAGAGACAAAAATATCAAACGAGACTTCTATCTCCCCGCAATAAATACCCAGCACCTCCAAATCTGAGGCCATGGTTCTCAGCCGGAAAAGGGTGGAGTGCCCACTCCGGGTCGGGGATGAGTTCCTGCCCCAAGTGGAGGAGTTCAAGTATCTCGGGGTCTTGTTCGCGAGTGATGGGAGAAGGGAGCCGGAGATCGACAGACGGATTGGGGCTGCAGCTGCAGTAATGCGGACGCTGCACCGGTCCGTCGTGGTGAAGAGGGAGCTGAGTGTAAAAGCGAAGCTCTCAATTTACCGGTCGATCTACGTCCCTACCCTCACCTATGGCCACGAGCTGTGGGTAGTGACCGAAAGAACGAGATCGCGGATACAAGCGGCAGAAATGAGCTTCCTCCGAAGGGTGGCTGGCCTCTCCCTTAGAGATAGGGTGAGAAGTTCGGCCATCCGGGAGGGGCTCAGAGTAGAGCAGCTGCTGCTCCACATCGAAAGGAGCCAGCTGAGGTGGTTCGGGCATCTGACAAGGATGCCCCCTGGGCGCCTCCTGGGTGAGGTGTTCCAGGCATGTCCCACCGGGAGGAGGCCCCGGGGCAGACCCAGGACACGCTGGAGAGATTATATCTCTCGGCTGGCCTGGGAACGCCTTGGTATTCCCCCGGATAAGCTGGAGGAGGTGGCTGGGGAGAGGGAGGTCTGGGCCTCTTTGCTTAGGCTGCTGCCCCCGCGACCCGGCCCGGACAAAGCGGATGAAGATGGATGGATGGATGGATGGATATAGTACAGTTTCACAGTACAGCAACATTTTGAACACAAAACATTTTAACCTGAATTCTCAAACGTCACTTCAGAGTGATAGCACAAATGCACATATTTAACTGAGTGATGTTCTCGGTTATAATGAGCCTTTTGTCTTCGCTTTTCTCCTCCCCGTCCCTCGGTCCTGTCCGTTCTCACCATAATTACTTAAAAAGTAAAATAAATAATAAAGATTGAATAAACTATGAAAATCACGTGGACGAGTACACGAAAAGCCAAAATGGTCCGTGTGGGAACGCAAATCTATTGGGACTAGTTCTGGACGGTACAGTGTCAGACAGGAAAGGCAAAAAAAGTCCAAAACTCCAGGATTGTGTGTTTTTGGCTCAGACTGCCTCCTCGAGTTTGTGTGTTTGTGGTACAGCCTTCATGTTATCGACGAGCCTTTGTTTAATAACAGATATCTAACACACTAACTGACCTGTGAGTCACTGACTGTGCATGCAGACCTGTTGATTTCAGATGAATGACACACAAATAAAGAAGATAAGTAGCTGTCACCTGAGTCCAGGTGTGTCTGACAGGTGGACAGAGTGACCTCCACAGACACACCTGTGTTGCTGATGATGTCATTCCCCCTGTCCCTCAGCTGTCAGACCCAGGGACTGCAGCGACATCCTGAAATCTGGTGTCTCTCAGGATGGCGTTTACTCCGTGTTTCCAACCCACGACCCCAATGGCTTCATGGTTTACTGCGACATGAGCACAGATGGAGGAGGCTGGATGGTACACACACACACACACACACACACACACAAACACACACACAAACACACAAACAAACAAACACAAACACACACACACACACACACACACACACACACACCCTAGGTGCTAATTCGTTTGTCAGCCTGAGCTTGTTAGACACCTGCTTCGGTTTGACTAGCTTAGCATACAGGAGACCTGCAGGAGATCCTGTCACACCCAATGTTCCCTCTAAGCTGCGCGCGTGCGCAATTGCGCACTGCTGGCACGTCTCTGCGCACAAAAAAAAAATCTAACCTGAATTGAAATTAAAATGAAAACTTTAACAATCCTGTTCTGCAGTGTGAGTCAGTGACTGGCTGCTCCCGTATGGGATCAGAACGATGCCACCTTATCCCACAGTCCAGCCAATGATGCGATTCACATTCGTATATACGCAGCTAATCAGCGTCGCTGACAGGCTCTGACAGCGTCCTTATGTGCCGACACCGGTGTTTTAGCAAAGCGGCTGATGTGGAGTGAAGCCACGTTAATGACAACGTGTACAACCATTGGAGATGTGAGCAGGACAGACGGAACAACTGACGGACAAAGTGTGGACTTTATACCAGTTTTTAAATTGTGTTGATCGGCCACGTAAAACCAGAGTTATGATAAAATATCTGCAATGTTTGGTTTTCTTCCTGAATACTGTCGTTGTTTATATTTACTGCAGGAAGAAACGGTAAAAACGGCGTTTTATAAGGAAAACGCTCGAAAGCCTGTGAGCAAAAAACACCAACTCCCCCCAGCCTTTCCTATTGGTGTAAAAAAAATGTACCATGTGGACCAATCAAAAAATTATATGGCAACATGGCATCATCAGTTTTAAAGCAAAACGGAGCGGCGAAGAATTAATCTAGACAGAGTGCGGCACAGAGGCGGCACATAATTGTGTGGCCATCATAGACATTTGATAGCACAAGAATAACAGCTGATGTGTTTGATAAAATACGTTTTGAAAGGAATTTATTTAAAAACAACAATTCGGCTCGCATCTCTACTCTAGATAAGAACACAATGACCGCATCAAAACAACTTCTGTCTGTCTTGCATAACTCAGCTCTACTTTTTTTGAACGAACTATACTATAACATAAAAAAAAATAAACACTGCACAAAAAACACAGCATTCTGGTCAATAACACACTATATACTAGTACTGTTGCCCGACAGACAGTTTACAGCACTCCTCCAGACCGAAACAGCTAAAAATAAAAAACAATGATCAGAAACGCTTTAATGAAAATAAAGAAAGTTGATGCTTTAACACACACATCTGGATGTTCCATAGCTTATTTATTCCTAATCAGGACCAGCTCGTTAACAACAACTGACTACAGTCATGACAAGACTTGGTTTTTCCTTATATCAACTTAAATGAGTAAATAGGACTAAGCAGGTATTTAAAGTAAGTCTAAAACATAAACTCGCTAAAGTACACAAACAATATCTGGATCCTCTTTAAATCAAATCAATATAACATTGGATGCTGGCAATGACAAAAACTAAGCAACAGATAACTTGTTGGCTCCCACAGATGGTCAAAAGAGAGACGCTAAAAGTATATGTCATATACGATACGAACGTGAAAAAATATATGCAAGGGAAAACAACACTCTGCACACACTTCAGATACAATCACACCCGATATACAATTTTATCAGCCCAAGATAGTTTTCTTTCATATTAAGATGGTATAATGTAACCCCTGTCACGACGAGCTTCAACACAATGTGGTGTGTGACATGACGCATAGGCTGATTCAGTAGGGGAGGACGGAATCGGGATCGAAAACTAATCCATTCAGAGGCAATGGGAGGACCCCTTACAGGACGGATTGGGCATCCAAACGCACCTGAGAGCACTGCTTGGTAATCGTCTCATCCAACAAAAAAACGAGTCATGGCTTTATACCTGTATGTTTGTGGGGGCCAATTACTCAAACACTCGAGTGCACACACAACCAAAAAAAAAACTCACGGAACCTGAACTCTGTATCCTTTCTTTAGCTGCAAAAACAGGCGGAACACTGTATTAAGACAGTTTACCGCTCAGCCGTTTTTTTGAGCACCACACGTATGACTCACCATGCTGATGCAATATTTCAAGCTGTCACGACTTCACCAGCTCTTGATGAATCATATCTCAAAAATAACCATTCTTTTTTAGATGCTATAACCAACAAGCAAAAACCATATTCTGTTAAAATACTGGTACAGGCTACAAAGGCACTGCAGGAGCTGGCCATGTAAATAAAAAAGCTAACTAAATGTCCAAGAAAGAAACTTAAGAAAGCCCTGGATTACTGTCCCTCTTAAAATCGCAGAACGACGAGAAACCATAAAAGTTTCTAACTCAACTAAATTAATAGAATGATTTAGACCGGACGACGAAAACAAGAAAAAAAATAACTTTAATATTAACACAAACAACTAACCACCGAAACTTACTCGACTACATCACAAACACGTAAGACGCCAGTCACCCACTTCAATGATACAGTACAGATCCGCAACACAACTCTAAACTGGATAGTATTAAAGACTCTCAGCCAGCATGGTGTTCTTCTAACTGTTTAAACTCTTTAATTCTTTGCTATCTTATGTTAACTTCCTGAGTTGATTTGTGGTGTCACTTCACATCACAATTACAAAATAAATAATATTAAATGCCAGCGTTCTAACCAACCACGATCTGAACAGCCAAACAACGCTTCGCTATCAGGAGCTAAGCTCGCAAAAAAATCTTCACCGGACCTCGCTGTCATCAGTGTTGAGTAGAATGCCGAGTTGGCTCCTGGTTATTAATCAACTGCATCCACAGCTGGGCAGCATCGTCAGCAGTCTTCATGAAATGACACATTTAATCTTCTACTCATAACTTCACCCAGCTAATATTCTATTACTTGGTCTGTTCTCAAACGACATACACAAAACGTGTCAGAGCATAAGGAAAAGTCTTGGTTAATAATATTCTTTATTTTTCTAATTTCAGGTGAGCGAGTAACCCGGTAACTCAACAAAGTGTTTTCTTGTGTTCTTAGCATCATGTAAACCGACCGATAGACACACACATCTAGCCGAATAAATACTAGTGTGATAGCGGACAAACATCCAAGTGGTAAGCACCAGTACGAGATGATGACAAACTGGTAAAAAACTCACAAAAGACAGTGTCCATAACACCACCACGTACTTTAGAAACGCAGCACAGTGACCCTGGCTGGTACCAATCCTCCTCAAAGACGTAATCGAGAGGATACCTACTACCGCCTCAACCAAAAACCAGTCAGCGTGGAATTCCGAAACCCTGCGTATCGACATGGACGACTTTCGATCATTTCTTCGCACAAAACAACCAACACCAAAAAACCAAAAAAAAAACAAACCAACAAACAACACGACGCGTTTAATCCTACTAAAACCCTAGTATGAATATTCCGTACACTGTCCGAGACTCACCACCACCGCTGAACACCCGAGGAGGACGGATCCTACCCGCTGCACTGTTATGGCACCAGGATACATCCCGGGCACTACAAAAATAACAGCAGGTACACACCAACGCGGTAAACAAGACAGTACAAAAACGAAAATTAAACTGCTTACATAAGCCACACTAACACACACACACACACAGACACACACACACACACACACACACACAAAAACACAAACAAAAAAAAAAAAACAAAAAAAACAAAACAAAAAACAAAAACAAAAAAAAAAAAAAAAAAAAAAAAAAAAAAAAAAAAAAAAAAAAAAAAAAAAAAGATACAAATACAGAGAACAACTGTGCGGCGTACTACCAGGGGGCGTGGTGGTACCGGAACTGCCACACCTCCAACTTGAATGGGCAGTACCTGAGAGGAGGCCACGCCTCCTACGCTGACGGTGTGGAGTGGTCCAGCTGGACTGGTTGGCAGTACTCGCTTCGCTTCACGGAGATGAAGATCCGACCCAGACCGGAGTCCTGAACCTGGGCCGACAGCTCATGATTGGTTGTGACTGTAGATGGTTAGAGTCTGTATGAAACTCCACCTCCATAAGTATAATTGTAAATGATGGTAGACAGAGCGTTGATGTGTTACTTACCTTTTTTTGTTTCATCAATAAACTCATTTGACAAGACGATCCATAATCACTCTGATCGATCTTTACGACGCGGTGTTAGAGGTCACGCTCCTCTGATGGAAGCGGGCGGGTTAAATGGTAAATGGTCTGTATTTATATAGCGCTTTAGTCCCTAAGGACCCCAAAGTGCTTTACACATCCAGTCATCCAGTCATTCACACACTGGTGATGGCAAGCTACATTGTAGCCACAGCCACCCTGGGGCGCACTGACAGAGGCGAGGCTGCCGGACACTGGCGCCACCGGGCCCTCTGACCACCACCAGTAGGCAACGGGTGAAGTGTCTTGCCCAAGGACACAACGACCGAGACTGTCCAAGCCGGGGCTCGAACCGGCAACCTTCAGATTACAAGACGAACTCCCAACTCTTGAGCCACGATCACCCGGTTTAGGAAAAAGTCCCGATCAGTGTTGGTCAAGTTACTTGAAAAAAGTAATCAGTAACTAATTACTGATTACTTCCCCAAAAAAGTAATCCCGTTACTTTACTGATTACTTATTTTCAAAAGTAATTAATTACTTAGTTACTTAGTTACTTTTTAAAAACACGATTTACAACCTGAATAGGTGATAAAGCGATAGATCTTTCAGCCCAATTCTACTTTTTCTGCATAATCCATCATACAAAATGTAATCAAATGGAAAAGTCTCTTTTTAAAACTTGTTTTATTAGTTTTAATCTTTTAACTTTATGCATCAAGCAAAAATTTAATTATATGCAACATTCTCTGACTGGAAGAAATTAGTTTAACATTTAAACCTATTTTCTGCACATTCCAGCACATAAAATAAAATATTTTTTGTGTTTACACTCAGTCTTTCAAATAGATGCAAGTAAAACACAGCAGAAAATAAATAAAGTCAAAGACTCAGCGGTCCTGTTGCTCTATTTTCACCTGTAAAGCAGGAGTGGGGTAGGCGGAGGTTTACCCTGGTGCAGGTGTGCCGCGGTCAGTGGAAGAATCCGCGAGTTTCTCTGTGAGTTTCCCATTACGTCGTAGCTACTCGGTGCTTGTTGGAAGTTTAGGGGTTTTTTCGCTGTAAAAAGAAGTTTTCTTCCCACGCACAGCGGACACTAATGTTTTTGTCACTTTTTATGGAATCAAACTCAAAGTAAGGTCAGTACTTCCACGCTTTAAACGCTGCACGCTCATACTCTCTCTGCACTCGATATATGATCCATTGTTGATCTGCACACAGCTGTTGTCACGAACGTCGCACTCGCTTACGTCACTGTCATGAGACATTCTCGCAAAAAATCACGGTTTTAGTAACGCAGTAACGCAGCGTTCCTACGGGAAAGTAACGGTAATCTAATTACCGTTTTTGCAATAGTAATCCCTTACTTTACTCGTTACTTGAAAAAAGTAATCAGATTACAGTAACGTTACAAGTAACGCGTTACTGCCCATCTCTGGTCCCGATCAAGCTTAAAATACAAGTAATACTTGTCACGGTTTGTGGAGATGAGAGGTGTGGACCCAGGCACAGACAAAGATGCACAAGAGTGTTTAAAGCCTTTATTAACGGTTTAACAAAACCAACAGGAAAACGACCCTCAACCTAAACTGGGAAAACAAATTGTAACATAACACGAACCAGAAACAAGAAACTAGAACCACCTGGAAATACGAGGGGATGGAGAGCAGTGGTTACACCGAGCACAGGAGGGAGACACGGCTCAACCTAATTAAACATGACGAGGCAGGGAGGAAGCAAAACAATTCAATTCAATTCAATTTTATTTATATAGCGCCAAATCACAACAAAAGTCGCCTCAAGGCGCTTCATAGATACAGAGAAAAACCCAACAATCATATGACCCCCTATGAGCAAGCACTTTGGCGACAGTGGGAAGGAAAAACTCCCTTTTAACAGGAAGAAACCTCCGGCAGAACCAGGCTCAGGGAGGGGCGGGGCCATCTGCTGCGACCGGTTGGGGTGAGAGAAGGAAGACAGGATAAAGACATGCTGTGGAAGAGAGACAGAGGTTAATAACAGATATGATTCAGTGCAGAGAGGTCTGTTAACACATAGTGAGTGAGAAAGGTGACTGGAAAGGAAAAACTCAATGCATCATGGGAATCCCCGGCAGCCTACGTCTATTGCAGCATAACTAAGGGAGGATTCAGGGTCACCTGGTCCAGCCCTAACTATATGCTTTAGCAAAAAGGAAAGTTTGAAGCCTA